TAGACAGAGACGGCACACTTACATAGAGGGCTGAAGCCCAGGTCATTCTTAATCTTAGGGAAGATAACATGTGCTGGGTTTCATTTCATAACCACATCGGCTGAAAAAATCTCTCTTGAAAAACCATATAATTGGAGGGTCTGCAAAACTAGACTGTGTGTACGTATAGCTAACTTTAAAATGCCAATTCAAGTCCTATGAACACACATTTCCTTGCCAAATTTTCTTTGTTTTGGTTTTCAATAAGTTCGATTTCCTTGAGCATCACTGATAAGATATTATATATGTGAAATCTTTTTATCAGTCTTTGAATTTACCCAATGTGGAGGCTCCATTTTTATGATTGCATTCTAGACTTCTCCTTAATACAAAACAAACCCATGTGATTGATTGAATTAGACATATAGGCCTTTGCATTAATTCATTCTAGATAGACTTTTCCATAAGACATAAGTATTACTGTATTAGCATATCCTTAATGTGAACTTCATTAATAAATTGAAGAGGAGTTGGAAAACAGATGGAGGAAGTAATTGAAGAGGACTTGGAGAGACGCGCACGCAAAGGCAAATTAGGAAAACTACAAGTTTGGGCCCGAGTTCAGATTTGGGCCCATGACTCGTCGATTCGAAGAGCACAACATCATACGTAAAACTCATTGATTTGGCCATGACGTATGGGTTCTTTCTCTCTCTCGTTGCTTATTGCTTATCCTAGCTCCAACCTGCTGCGCTATTTATAATCAAGCAAACCCAAACCATGCATGCAGCTTTCGCTTCTTTTTCTTGCTGTACTGGCCCGCGATAATAGAGAAAATTGAAGCCATAAAAAAAAGTCAAGCCAGGTGGCAATTTTGAAAGGTCAAGTAATAATATTCTTGAAATAAAACAAACTAAAGCGTGCTTCACGTCTTCAAATAAAACAAAGTTAAGCTTACTATTTTCTTCTGTGTTGTAATGTGAACTTAATTATGTAATTTCTACTACTTGTACTTATGGGCCAAATCCATTTATCAATTATAAGTCATTAATTAGGATTGAACAATATGATTGTAATGCCATTTCTAAAGCGTGCTTCACGTCTTCAAACAAAACAAAGTTAAGCCTAGTGTTTTCTTCTTTGTTGTTTCTGTGCTTAATGTGAACTTGATTATGTAATTTCTAATACTTGTAATTATGGGCCATAGCCATTTATCAATTATAATGATGTCATTAATTAGGATTGAACAACAAGGTCGTTGAGATTTTTACATACTTTAATTACAGACGTATGATAAGTTTAAGAGAGTGATATGTAGTTTCAATTATTCATTTCACACATACCCTAAACTCTAAGGATTCAGATCCTCTGCTCTGATTTTCTCTGCTATGATCTGCTTTACTTTTGTTCTCCATACGCCACCTCATTAAAATTTAATCTAAGGGATTTAAATGTTGACACATCATCCTAAAACAAAAACTCAATTTACTCCTAATTAAAAAAAAAAAAAAAAAATAACGACCCTAACACCCAACTAACGGGATATTTAACGTCCAAAGCTTTTTTTCTTCTTCTTCTTCTTCGTGTTCTATCCTCTTTCTCTCTTTTTCTCCTTCTTCTTCCTGTTCTATCCTCTTTTCTTCTTCTTCTTTGTGTTCTGTCCTATTGAAAGACAAATCTTTTTTCTTCTTCTTTTTGTTCCTCATCAACCAAACAATGAGCATACACTTATTAATTATCTGATTTCTCAAACTTTTGGACAACAACCAGTTCCGCGTTTGATCGAATTTGACATAATTCTTGGTCTTCTCCATCTCTCATCAGCTTTTAGGACATATATACAAGCTTTTTTTCTTCAAAAATGTGTTATTAGATTGATCTCTACTGACGAGGACAATCTAATCAATTTAATCACTGAAAATAGAAGGCCAAATGTTATTTCCAATCAAGAGATCATAAGCAGAGAGAATGATAACCATGCCGTTAGAGCACAAATACCAAATGCCTAAGGCCGCCGTTCCTATCGTAATTAACAATTGTGGATTCTCAAAAAGCCGCTTCACAGAGGAATCGTTTTTCTTTTGATCATCATTTTCCTAACAAATTCCAATAATTCATTATATATCCATCTTTGGTGTCATTTGCCAAAAGTTTCTGCACCTCAACTCAACCCTTGGATGGCAAAAGGATGAACAGAAGGGGAGAGAACGTTGTTTATTGCCTTTACTTTGTCAAAAAATATATAAAATATATGTTATTTATTTCTAAAATACACGTGCTATATTCTCTACCTTTGGATTGTTTTTTAATGATGTGGCAGCATTATAGTGAAAGTATAGCAGATCATGGGAGAGAAAATCAGAGCAGAGGATCCGGAATATATTACTCTGCATTCTCAATTATAAGTGATATTTTAACAGCTACCGATGTTTTGAATCGTAAGAGAAGTGTAGGTTTGGGGCGAATTAGGGTTTGAAAAGGAAGAATGGGGATTCTGAGTGGGGATTGACGGAATCGGAGAAGAGGATTCAAGAGGTGACGCCATCAGAGATGAAGGAGACAGAGAACAAGATCGAAGAACAGCAACAAACAATTGCTTACAGATCAGAGATCAAACCAGAGATCGGAGCACAGAAGCGGAAGAGACTAGGATCGAAGAATGCCGTGAGGCAGTGGCGATTGATACCATAATGAAACCAAAGAAACCAGAGAAACAAAGGAAAACAGAAGAATGATTTTACTGAATAATCCTCTTCTCATTTACTTACTTTTCTTGTTAATTACATTTACATTTGAGGTGTATATATATAACCAAGACTATACAAAACTTTCCCTAACAACCTGCTGTAACAAACATAACAGCTTAACAAACTAAATGAGCTGTCATGAGTCATGACTTGGCATCTTTATCTTTAAATGTTTGTTTTTCTTCTTTTGACAGTCATATTTAAAACTACTATAATCTACGTAAAAGGGGAATTCAAACTCGATTGTAAGCACACTATCTTGCTAACTAATATAATCCACATTTGCGATAATATTTTCTTTTCAACAAACTTGTTTCTTTTGGTATAACATTGAATTTTAGTGTAGAAACACATACAAACACAAAATACCATTCTCCCAGTAAGTTCTTCTTTCTCTTTTTCTCTCAACAGTGTAAGGAAAAGTACATTATATGCTGCTTGCTCCATTGGGGTACGTACTATGAGGGTTCTTTGTGTATGCCAACAAGGACTTTGCTTAGCTAGGCATTGTTTGCAAGATTGCCATCTCCATATCGTAATATTTAACTTCACAGTGGGCATGAAATTGCTAGCATTTCTCTCAAAAAGTTACTAGAAAGAAGATTGGAGCCAGGGAGAAATGGAAGGGACGTTTGGTGTGTCCCACTAACTTTCTCATCACCTTTCTCTTTATCTTCCTCTCTCCTCTCCTCTCCACAGCTCCCCAAAGCCCACTTCTTTTTGTTCTTAAAAATTATTATGAATTAGACCCGTGCGATATGACTGCCCCTGACGATATTTTACTTTCATTCTGTATATTCAGATGGAGAGAAAGCCAAAGGGATATATATAGTTTCCTTTTTGTGGTTTATACTATCGCTTGAATTATAAAAAAAAATTTAAGAGAGAGGAATACGGTGTGACTATGATCTTAATCTTAGCAAGAATGCATGTCACAACAAATGCATATAAACGTGTGACTATGATCTTAATCTCAGCTAATTATTAGTGGATTATTTCTACTTAGAGAGAAGATAATTAAGTCATGGGGAGAAGTTTAAGGCTGAACTGAAATTAATTAATTAAAGACAGAGAAAGAGAGAAATACATATAGGGCCAGGGAGAGTATTGGACAATCCAAAATCACCAGAGAATATTAAAATATTTGGATAGATTATGAAATACCATCAATCACCAAGATGGACGGTTGACATCTTGATCATTTACCATCAATCATAAACACATCAGAGTAGGCCACGAGGAGAGCAGATAGTTGGACCAAACACCAGAGGCCGGCCATTAATCTTTCTGCATTAATTGGAGCATGCAATAGGAATAACACTTTTTACTATCTTATATCAATAGCATAAAGGTGTGTAAATTAATTTTTTCATGTGTGATTGTGTTATCAGTCGAAAATAACAAAACAGTGTCATCTCCGTTAAAAAAAAGTTTGTTTTTTTCTGAATTGTCAGAAATTACCATGCTCTCTCCATGGAGAGAACTAAGAGAAAAAAATGTTTGTTTTGCTTGTGCATTTGTAAACTATTCATTTAGATTCACAGATTTTATTTTTTGGGTCAAATTTAGATTCACAGTTTTAACTATAAAAAAGCACACATTAATTAAGGACCTTTTTCTCTTTTTAATTATTCTCTCTTCTTCCAAGTTCCCACTGAGGACTGAAGAGAAAAAGGCGGTCTCAAACTCAGTCAGTCTGCAGCGCAGCACCAGTGGCAGTACAATAAACGAGGAGATAGATATATGTAGATGAAAATAAAAATTAGTTTTGATTATTAATCTCATCGGGAAGGAAAGGTTCTCAGGTTTCTCCATTCTGAGCAGAGGTACACGTTAACTCCGCGTGCACCCTTCTGTTCATTTTTTAAGAACTCTAACTCTCTCTTTTTGTCAGTACACTCTATGTAATTGTGAAGTTATACTAGAGTCTAGAGAGAGAGAGTACTGTTTATGTACAGAAAGGAGGAAAAGAAAAGTAGCCATTTCCGAGGGAGGTCTAAATCTATCAACCCTTTTAATTTACAGATATATATATATATATCAGTCATGTAAATTTCTGACAGATCTCCACTGTGTCTTTGTCCGTGTGTGTAATTTAGAGGAGAGGCTTGCTTCCTTCTTTCCTTGCTTTTCTGTACACATAAAGACTGTCACATATGGAGTTTTAGCTTAAAAACCGGGAGGCAATTCCTCTGCTGAGAAAGAAAGAAAGAAAGAGAGAAGTTCCACTTCCAGGCCACTGAGAGAGAAAGAAAGAGAGAAGTTCCACTTCCAGGCCACTGAGAGAGAAAGAAAGAGAGAAGTTCCACTTCCGGGCCACTGAGAGAGAGAGAGAGAGATGGAGAGAGGAGGAACCAATTGTAATAATAATAGTGGTGTTACTTATAGTGGTCTGATGATGGGGTTTGGGAACAACACTAGTAGAACTGGTAGTAGTAAGGCACAGTTTCTTTCTCTACCTTTGATGGTGGGTTGCAGCCATCCAAACTTGCAAAGTGATCATCAGACGACTGATCAGGAGATGATGGTTAGTTGCAGCGATAGCATGAAAGCCAAGATTATGGCTCATCCTCTCTTCCCTCGTCTCTTGGCCTCCTATGTCAGTTGCCAAAAGGTGATCACTAGTTTAATTCATTTTCAAACCCCATGCTTCAAACTCTCTCTCTCTCTCTCTCTCTCTCTCTCTCTCTCTCTCTGACTCAGAGACATACCCAGTTTACAAAAGGGATTGAGGGAGTTTTGTGGTCCATGAAAGGAATAAATATATTATTTTTCATTTTTCGTAGGTTTTGGTTTGTTTTCTGTCTGCATGTCCTTGTTGTCTGATGTTGTTTGGGAAATTCTAATTAATTAATTAGGTTGGGGCACCTCCTGAAGTGGTGGCTAGGTTAGAGCAGGCCTGCAGTACTGCTGCTCACAATTCTGAGGCAGCATGTTTAGGAGGAGGAGATCCAGACCCAGCGCTGGACCAGTTCATGGAGGCCTACTGCGAGATGCTGACTAAGTACGAGGAAGAGCTCACAAAACCCTTCAAAGAAGCCATGCTTTTCCTCTCCAAAATCGACTCCCAGCTCCGAGCTCTCACAGTTCATTCTTCCTCAGATTCTGGTTGTCATTAACATCACCTTCTTATATCTATATACATATTATTCCTCCAATGTTTCTTTCCTGCATCTTCAGCTGCAACTTGAACTGTTTTAGAATGGATCTGATCAAATAAATCAAACGGTCCTGATCTGATTCTCTTCTCTTTCTTTCTAAGCTTATTTCAAAACTGTAGCAATTGAAATTCAAAACTTGAGTTTGGTGTTTGGTGTTTGCTTGTAAAGTTTAGCAGGAAGACTGCTTGAGGTAATTATGGTAGATTAAGTCTTTCGGAAGATTTTACTGTGATTAGGGTTACTCATTTTCGTGTTAACTTGGGTATATAGCCAGTGGCTTGATTAGGCTTGATTAGTACTTAATAATTACTATATGCATATTTATATTTTCATCTATAGTAATTTTGTTCTGCGCTGATTTTGTGGCATGCGTGATCAGCTAGCAGTGGTGATAATATTGTTGGGAGAAGTGGGTCTCCAGAAGAGGTTGATGCCACCATGAATGGGAGTTGCATAGACCCTCGAGCTGAAGATAGGGAAATCAAAGCTAAGCTTTTGCGCAAATACACTGGATATCTGGGCAGCCTCAAGCAGGAGTTTATGAAGAAGAAAAAGAATGGAAAGTTGCCGAAGGAAGCCCGGCATCAGTTGCTTGACTGGTGGAGTAGACACTACAAATGGCCCTATCCATCGGTACACCTTATACTCAGTCTATACTAATCTTCGTTTTGGTCCATTGTCTTGCCAAACTGTACTTCAAATCTGACGAAATAAGTATCTATTTGATAACCTAAGTCTTACAAGAGTGCGATATGCGATATATTGTACTTAATCTATATTTTTGTTACATAACATAATTCTAACAAGAGAACATTACACGTTATATTATGAAGGGTCAATTGTAATTTGTATATGCAGGAAGCTCAGAAGCTAGCACTGGCAGAGTCTACATGTCTGGATCTGAAGCAGATAAATAACTGGTTCATCAATCAGAGGAAACGCCATTGGAAGCCCTCGGAGGATATTCAATTTGCAGTGATGGATCCAACTCATCCTCATCATCATCCCCACTTCTACATGGACAACAATCTCACCTTCCCCATGAACAGCACATCGACTCCCCTTTGATATTATCACTGGGCTTAGATGCATGTATGTATGTTAAGAATTTGGTGTATCCTAATTAATTTACATCTCTAACTTGTTGACATTTTGAGACCACTCTTAATTTGATTAGGTGGGCACAGTCTTCTAATGTGGTCCTACCCCTAGCTTCTCCAAAGTGCTTTTAGCAGAAGCATGTGGTTTTGATATATTCTCAGCACCTTGATTTCTTTACCAACATTTAGAATTTCAGCTTGGCCAAGCATGGTTTTGGTCCAGTGGTATGCAAGCATTTGCACAAGGGGAACAAAGCACGCACAAATGGTTTTGTCTTCTTTTTCTACATCACACGTGATATTTCACACCACCTTGCCCGCTATGGGTTTTTTTTTTTTTTTTTTCATTTTTAGTTCGATTATTAACGTTAATTTGTGAAAATTTAGATAAGAATTAAAATATCTTGTTTGTGTTGGGAGATAGTGTTGAAATTAAATTGTGAGATTAATAAAATAAAAATTAAACATTTGAGACCACCAGACACAAGTTTTAAAAAAGCTTACGAAAATGACAAACTAACGTGTTGGTTTGACTTTGTTACCACTTTGCTTACATGCTTTGTATTTCAATTCTGTATCTAAATCGGATAAGATATGTTAATTATTGAAGCTAGTTCTTCAAATTAGGCCTTACTTATAACTTAATCTTCCAATTAATTAAGGCAAAGTCGACCTATAAATTAATTTAGCGACCTATTGAGTTGAGATAAAATCAACAAATTCATGTTGATGATGATTGTTTAGAATGGCACGATACATACTATATTCATCTATCATCAATAATGACAGGGGCACCAATTCTTATCGCAACCTTTATTTATGTAAACTCAAATTTCACTCTTAATACCATATTCGCCTATTAACACAAAATATTATTAATAATGGTAGAGGTCATACCTCTTATCCAACTTTTAAAATTAAAAAAAATTGTATGTCAATTGAACATGGCAATAAACCTACCATATTCCAAAAAGCTCGGCTCCTTACCGAAAAATTAAGAAGGAGCTTATCCTCAAAGTAAATGGAAAATACCAACAGGAGTTGGTCCAAGTGGAAGGGGCTTGGATCCTTTAAACAAGAGGTCCTGGGTTCGATCTCAGGCGCTTGCGAATAGAGCAGACTTTGTTGGGAGAGGTCCCCGCTTTGCGCCCGACAGTACCTTGAGGGTTAGTCCCCGCAATCACGCGGGGGATACCTTGGTTTTCACCAAAAAAAGTAAATGGAAAATTGCCAATTTTTTTTTAAACAAAGAAAATTAAAGAAAAACTTAAATGAAATTGAATCAAAATCTCATTTATTTTGAGGAGAAGCTCCTCCTCGGTTTTAAGGAGTCAAGTTTTTTCCTTCTAAATAACACATTTCGAATTCAAAAATGAGTTTGTTTAAAGCTATGTAAATATGCAACTAACAAAAAAATATGTGTTGTCTTATTTACATACATGTATGAAATGTGAATATATTTTTATTTAATGAAGTAATAGGTTGTTGTCAATGGATTATAGCTTAATTGGTTGAGCTCTTTCACCTCTAACATTTTATCGTATTAAAGGAAGAAAGTTTGCAAAAGAGTAAATAATAAAATAAATTGGCCAAAAAGAGAATAAGAAAGAGGAAAAACTATTAATATAATATTTGGTAAGTAGCTATTAGTATGTGAGTTATAGTACTTTTTGTGGGTAACAAAAATGTTGTCATTCGTTACTTAGGTTTATAAAGTCTAAGTCATAGATAACAAAATAATAACTTTCCCTCGGAGTCGACAAGCGACAAGCGAAAAAACCCTCGGAGCCACCGACCCCAAGGCTGCCACCCCCTTTGGGGTTGGTGGCTTCCCATCTCCCCTCCCTTCCTCCTTGCCCCTGCTTTCCTTTTGCTCCTTTTGATCCTTTTGATTTATTTTATTTTTTATTTTTTCAGACTTGGTTGTAGCTGGCTATAATCCCATCGATTTTCACACCAAGGCATGTGACAGAGTGTGGAGGAGAGTTAGAACCAAAAGCTTCTGATCTAGGAATTTATTCCCCGTCGGATTTTTGGTATTCTCCCGTGCCTTGGCATACCATGACGCTCTTCTCTCCTATTGCAAATATGGTTGTCACTGTTATGGATATGGATGGCTTTGATTGTGCATCATTTTATAGAGAAAAGTGTTGCTGCTCCTTTAGTCAGTGTTGTTTGGTTTCTTATATTTGGTGTAGTTTAAATTCCAAAAACCCTATGAGTTGTTTGGTTTTCTCTTGTAATTCCCAGAAAATTATTGAATTTGCTAGGTGGTCTAGTTTCCCTAAGAGAGTTATGCCAGTTAGTGGCTAGGTTTTATCCTCAATGTAACTGATTTGATAGAGGACAACTTAGATGATAGATAAGGGTTTTTAAACAAGTTCTTTGCGATTTTTTTCTCCATATCATTTCAGCCCTAGAGGTGACTCTGGTCACTAGGAAGCTTTACCCATGTTTGTTGTATTGCTAATCGAGATGACTTTCTATGTACATTTTTAATTGATCTAATAAAATATTATCACCTGTTTGGTCAAAAGTCATAGATTGGTAACCTTGTATGTATACAACTCATGATAACAGTTGTAAGTAAGAAGTAGCTTTCTACTTAAGTCTTAAGCATTAAACTTTGAATTCTAGTTTTGAATTTATTAAATTGGTATGCTTTAACTTTTTTTTTTGTTGTCAAGGTATGCTTTAACTAGGAAGAGAAGAGTGCATGAGTACTATATATGTCACATTAAATAATGAAACTAGAGAGTTACCTAAATACAAAATAAGAAACCAGTAAATATGTAATCAATTTCCAACTGAATGTTGAAAGAGCTCCAAAGTTTAAATTCCACATATTTTCTTAATAAAGAAATGAATTTACAAAATAAATATAAAAGAGAAAAAAAGAATAGACTCAAAAGAGAAAAAGAAAAGAAAAGCAAAGAAACACATTTGTTTTAGTATTATAATTGCGCATGAATGTATGCAAGAATGGATGATGATGTTGATGATGGTGGTGATGATACATGATGATATGACATACATTGTGTTCATCCTCGCAAGTCGCATCCGCCCAAGGAAAAGCTCTCTCTCTCTATCGCTCTCTCCGAGCACTCTTCTCTTCCGCTCTTTCCCAGTTTGTTTAAACCTTCCACGTCTAGGGTTTCCTTTTTACTTCATTAAACCCTTACCATCTAAAGCCCTCAATCTAATCGACAAAACCCTAAGTTAAACTCCTTACTTTATACAACAATCTCGCCTCATTTGGCTCACATTTTCCCTAAAATCAGCTTATTGGTCTCTGTCTCTGTCTGCCTTTCTGAAATCGCAAAACTTCGAGCTGCACAACATTCATGGCCAAGACCAAACCTGGAAAAAAGGACCTGGACTCATACACCATCAAGGGCACCACCAAAGTCGTTCGAAGTACATCTCTCTCTATCTAAAAAACCCAGAATTTAGATTCCAGTTTTAGCTTCTGAAAACCCAAGATTGTCTGATATTTATTAAATCTAGCTCTGAGAAACCCAAAATTTCGATCTTTACATATATAGACAAGTTTTCTGTAAAACCCAGATTCAAAATTTCAATTTTAAGCTCTGAAAACCCATAACTAATCTTAGTTTTTTCAATTTTTTGGTGCTGAAGAATCGATTTTGTTTAACATTTTATACAGTTCATGTTTCTCTGCTATGCGTGGCATTGATTTTCGATTGAATTTGTGCTTGCCATAGCTGGTGATTGTGTGTTAATGCGACCATCGGACTCCGATAAGCCTCCATATGTGGCACGCGTGGAGAAGATCGAAGCGGACCACCGCAACAACGTGAAGGTTCGGGTTCGATGGTATTATCGACCTGAGGAGTCCATCGGAGGGCGAAGACAGTTCCATGGAGCCAAGGAGCTGTTTCTATCAGACCACTATGATGTGCAGAGTGCACACACTATAGAAGGGAAGTGTACGGTGCACTCCTTCAAGAACTACACTAAGCTTGAGAATGTGGGAGCCGAGGATTACTTCTGTAGGTTTGAGTACAAGGCTTCCACTGGAGGGTTCACCCCAGACCGCGTGGCTGTGTAAGCAATGTGTTCTTTTGGCTTTGGTTGGCTATTTTCCTGCTCACAGAAAAACACACATGTATATTTGATTGGTGATGTTGGATTTTGAAATTATGTTACTTTGCTTTTTGTGTTGAAGGTATTGTAAATGTGAGATGCCATACAATCCGGATGACCTTATGGTGCAGTGTGAGGGATGCAAGGACTGGTAAATGCACACCATTCGTTTCTTTTATGCTTGGTATTATTCATCCATTTCAAAGTTTGTATGCACTTTTTTCCATTAATCATCGAGTTCTTTGGCAATTATCGTTTTATAAGCTTTCATAATTAGCAGCGTGTAGAATAGAAAATGGAAATTGTGACTGCTAGTGCCATATGATTCCATTTGTAGAAGGTGATGATTGTTAAATTCATTTGCTACTGAGGTTTTGCAGATTATGAGATAAGATGTTTGTCCAAATTTCAGATCCTCTTGATGGCAAACACATTGAGCTTCACATTTATCTTATTGGAGTTGGTGAAACATGTGGAATGTTTCACGACGACATTTAATTAACAGCAAATATTCAGGTCTTATTGACCATATTTGGGTTTCAGAACCTATGCACTGGTTCATTCTCAGTAGCACTCAACACTTGGAAGTTAGTTATTTCTCTTTTTTCCTTTACGAACAATAGTGAGCTGTATTGTGAGTGGGGGCTCATCTGATTTCCTTTTCTACCTTCATTTCCAATAATCTCTAACCATCAATTTGCAGAATTTAAGACTATAAATGTTTTCTTAATATAGTGTGCGTCTCTTGCACACAGTCTTCTTTTGGTTTATTAAGTTTGATGATTGTTTGGCGGGTTCTTGAGAGCTTGATGTAAGGAAAGGTTTTAAATACTGATTGTAGTGGATATATTGAAGGTTTGAAATTAGGGAACTCTTTATGGAAATATTGATAAAAATATCAATATCAAGAGAAATTGGATTGGAAATTTGAATTGGTGCTTTATGATTTTCTTTTTCTATGTTAAGCTTTACTTATGTTACTTTTGTCAAAGCCCATCATATTGCTTAATTAATATAGGATCAGATGGACCAAATTGTGAACAAAATAGTGGTTGGTTGCTGTTAAAACTCTTGAAAATAGTGGAATAATTTCTTTTTGACAGTCTCATTAATGTTCACAATCTATGTAATGGTGTTTTTTTTTTACTGTGGCAATGCCTTTGCCTTGGCAACATAATTATTTGTTGGTGATTTCATTTGAAACTAACAATTAAAGATTTGTATAAATGGTAATAACAGATATGCTTCCTTTTTTGCGTGCATATTTTGCAGGTTTCATCCCTCTTGTATGGGTATGACCATTGAAGATGCAAAAAAGTTGGAGCACTTTTTGTGTTCTGACTGCTCATCTGATGATGATGCCAAAAGATCCTTGAATACATTCCCAGTATCACCATCTGTTGAGGCTAAGGTGAGAATTCTGTGTGTTTTGTTCATATGATTCCAAGACGTTCTTGATATAGAATAACCCTTGCCCCACCTCTTAAGCTTGAAGGTTGCATCACTGGCCATAATCAATTGAAATTTTTTTTTCCAAAAAAAAGAAGAAGATGAATTATAGAGAATTTTAATGACTTAAATTCGTAGTCGGTGTTTATTCCTCAATTGATGCCAATTTAAAATTGGAAAAATGAGGCTTCTACCTCTTTTGTAAGCTAGGAAAGGAGTTACCATCAATCTTCTAAGCAAGCTCATTTGGAAATTAGTTTACAGAACCTTGAGTTCTACCTGTGTGGATGTTGGAGATGTTGTCTTTACCTAAAATACTTGGACTTCCTTGCTCGACTTTGTTGGATGACTTTATGACTAATCTATGGAATAATAGTGGATAAAGAAAAATTAAAATTTTGAGAGAAAGAGAGGTCCTATTTATAGTCATGATGATATCGTGCTGGTTATTGGAATTAATTTTAGGTAATGCTGTTAAAACTGCACAATATTGTTCTGTGAAGTCTTAACCAGAGCATTACGTTTTGACTGATTCTGATGTAATTTTCTATAGGTTTCCTTGCTTCAATGAAGGATCATGGCTGATTAACCATGACGGTGTTATGTTTTAAATTTTATTTTAGGTGGAGCCAAAGCGCAGGAAGAGATGACCTATTGATTGTGATGCTTAGCGAGGAGGTATCCAACTTCTTTGGCATTAGCTCCAGTGTTGTGTGTTGTGGAAATGTACAGTGCAGAGAAGATACTGTGCTTGCACAATCCAAAGGATTTTTTTAGTTTTATCAATGTTTGTATGTGTGCTAGACCTAGGCAATGACTTTGAGATCTGTGTTGTCCTTGCAAGACATTAAAATCATATTTAAGCACAGAACACATGAGAACACACCAAATCAAAGATGTAGGAGGAACCTTGGATTTGTTGTGATGTGTTTATTGCTGGCATTACTTAGTATGCATGCAATGGCAACTGATTTAGTTTTTTTTAGCCCTTTTTCCCCCTTGTTTCATTGTCTTTCTGTTTTTGGGGATGAGAAAAAGTAGGGGAAGCAGGGGTTCTTTAGCAGCTCTTGATAGAGCTGCATCTGTGGATCAAGATCCAGAGATGCAGCTTTGGAATAGGGTTCTGTGTGTGCGACCCGAGGCATGGCGGGTGCAGTTTCAGGATTAACTAGAACACCCATTTGGCTTAACTGATGGGTTTGCTCCCGCCTTTGTCTTTTTAAACACATCATTTGCCACTGGGTTGATCTTACGGGCTGGTGGAACTGTGTTCTATTCTATCAGCCTGCTTGAGGTCCAGCCAATTTTCATGCCATTTTCCCCCAAGATCTACTACCAACACAGACCTGTGAATGTGCAACCGTACCACCTGTCGGAAGATCATCTTGAATTGTCATTATCATAACAGCAGGTTTTGTTGACTGTATGATGGTTAACCGGTGTTGTATGTTATTTGTGCATGTCTCAGATTTTGAAGAATCATGTCCTGGATTCTTGTTGAGTCACATCTTGCTCTTAGTACAAAGCTTTATGGTCATTTTAATTAAGCCATGCTACCATGGTACATGTTCACATCATTTGTGTATTGCTGACTCTTTCTACATCTCTCTCTCTCTGTGGTTATGTGGTTTGATTTGCTGATATTGGACCCCAAGTATTGACTGTTCTCAGAAAACAGATGAGATGTCTAAGAGGGCATCTTGATCTAATGCTATGGATGGCTCTACTATATTCCAAGTTGATGATTGGATCTTCTATCTTGGCCAGCCAGACTATTTAATTTACATTTCTATTTATTCTAAAATTTTGTTCGTTGTACATCTCTTCATTATAGGATGTGTTTGGTTTTAAATATGTTTCAGAGTGGTCCCGGGTGCCAACTTTGTAGTGGCCCTTTTGACTGTACTAATTTGTTAGACCTAACTTGTTCTTTTGCATTTCCAATGGATCTCCACATATTTATTTGAAAAAGAAAACAGGCTTTGAGTTACAGACAAGTGGTCTCACATTCGAATTCCCATGGTATTTTAGTTGTGTGTGTGAGAGAAACCCCGCTTCTCTATAAGTTGAGACTATTATTTGTATTAAAAATAAATAAATAATGATGTGGCATGTGAAAGAGAGAATAAATTGATAACATTAAAATTTTTAAAATCTTATTCCCAACCTTCCTTATAGCCTTAGGCCTAAATTGCATCCTTACAAAGGAAAAATAATTGAGAGGACGAAGGTAAATTCCATTTTATTCAACATAAAATTGATAAGTGGGTGTAAAATCTGTGGCAGAGGTTCCCCAACTCCATGCCATACAATCTTCCTTTGGTGCAAACTTGTGCACGTTTGCAGCTTCTATCATTAAGAAAGCAATTCACCTTTTACAGTTATACTCGTGACAACTTCTACCATTGAGTGCATTGACCTAATCCTATTTCTTTCTATACATGTTTTGTGTATATCTATATATGAGTCTTTACCTTTTTTTTTTATCAATGTATCTGTGCGTCTCATTCCCTCCCCCAACAAGCCCTTCTCTACCACAAATTAAGCCTAAAATGAATGGGGTGGTTACCCATTTTCTTTAAAGAAGGATCATCTTTATATAATTAAATTAAATTTATATGTGAATTTCAAAGTATAATGAAAAAATTAATAATTCAGACCGAAAAAAAAAAGAAGAAGAAAAAATTAATAATATAAAACATTTTTTTATATAAGCGACATTGTAAAGTACTCTAAATTAATCTTATCTATGAGTAGGGACACTTGAACTTGGGTGCAACCGGGAGTGAGACTCGAACTTAGGTGCAAAGGGGGCGGACTCACTGTCCTAACCAACTGACCTAATTCACATATGCATAATATAAAACTTTTTATATCTAAATCCTTAATTTTATTTTTCATCCAAATAGACTGGAGGACTGTATGTCTTTAACATTATTGTCAATGTTTTTTCATTTTTATTAACAAGAAGAATTTTTTTTTTTAAATCCAAAATTTATTTTGTAGAGATAAATAAAGATGAACAAAGACAACACTGTTTAAAGGGTGTTTGTGTAAATGGCAACACAATGAGCCACCCATTCCCATTTCCCTTGTTTCCCTTCCATTTTCGTTTTCTCCATCGAATCGAAACAACGATAAAAGCAAAGTTACAGTCTTTTACAAAGAGCTTTTAGATTGCACAGACATGTAGAGGGTATACTCCTGTATTTATAACAGACATTTCGCTTTTTTGTTTAATTAATTCAAATTTTGATTCTTTTTTGCTTTAGGCTTTTGCCTCTCTCTCTTCAAATTAAGTGCGCAATTAGATTTAATTAGGGTTTATCAGTTGAAGACCCGAGTTCCAGACTTCCAGTTCAGGCTTTTTCTAGTTCTTACCTCTCATTTTCTCTCGTTTTCTTTCTCGCACTTTCTCGGATCCCTTTGCTCATGTAGTCAATGTAAGTCAATTTCTCTTGTGTATATCTTCAATTTCTTCGGAACCCGCTGTTTGTTATTCAATTTAAATTCTTTGTCAAAAGTTATGAGAATTTTGTGCTCAGAAGAATCATCTAGGGCATGTTCATCTGATAGGGTTTTCATTTCTGTTGATAAATTGTCACCTCGTATGACTTGTATTATTTGATTTTGAGAATGCCAATGATTTGAATTAGTTTCCGAGCTAGAAAGAGTTTGGGGTCAAGGTTTTTGTAGATATGATCAAACAGATATTGGGTAAAATACCTCGGAAACCCTCAAAATCATCGCAAAACGATGCGTATAATGACGGAGGGGCCAATGGGAATGGGCCCAATTCATTTCACAGCTCAAAATCTACTTCGTCTTCATCAAAATCTTCAAACTTGGGTTCAGGCGCTTCACGCTCGAGCAATGGAACTCTTGCCCCACACTCATCGAGCTCGACTAAATCCAACCACTCGAAGAAATCAGCTCCCATTGCTGCCCAATTGGGTCCTTTGTTGTCTTCTGGAGCCTACGAGGCTTTGCCGAGTTTCAGGGATGTTCCCAGTTCAGAAAGGCAGAATCATTTTATTAAGAAATTGAATATGTGCTGTGTTGTGTTTGATTTTAATGATCCCTCGAAGAATCTCAAGGAGAAGGACATCAAGCGGCAAACTTTACTTGAACTTGTTGATTACATTTCATCCGTAACTTCAAAGTTCAATGAGGTGGCAATGCAGGAGATTACAAAGATGGTGGCAGCCAATTTGTTTCGTACATTTTCATCTTCTAATCCTGATAACAAGCTTCCTGAAATGTATGACCAAGACGAAGAGGACCAAATGATGGAACCAGCTTGGCCTCATCTTCAGATTGTGTATGAATTTCTATTGAGATTTGTGGCTTCGCCAGAGACGGATGCCAAGCTTGCTAAAAGATACATTGACCATTCGTTTGTGTTGAGACTACTTGATTTGTTTGACTCTGAGGACCAAAGAGAGAGAGAATACTTAAAGACAATCCTCCACCGCATTTATGGGAAGTTCATGGTGCATCGACCATTCATTAGGAAGGCCATCAACCATATCTTCTTTTGGTTCATTTTTGAGACTGAAAAGCACAATGGGATTGCAGAATTGCTTGAAATTTTAGGCAGCATAATCAATGGTTTCGCGTTGCCTTTGAAGGAAGAGCACAAGCTGTTCCTTGTCCGTGCCTTGATTCCCCTTCATAAGCCCAAGTGTGTATCTATGTACCATCAGCAACTTTCATATTGCATCAGTCAGTTTGTGGAGAAAGATGCCAAGCTGGCTGATACCGTGATTCGAGGACTGCTGAAGTATTGGCCCATAACTAATAGTTCGAAGGAAGTTATGTTCCTTGGTGAACTAGAAGAAGTTCTGGAAGCTACCCAGGCATCAGAATTTCAGCGCTGTATGGTCCCTCTATTCCGTCAAATTGGTCACTGCCTCAACAGCTCACATTTTCAGGTACTATTCAAACGATATATTTATCTTTTACTGGCTTTCTTGTTTCAACCATGTGTTATCTGTGGATGCACATGGACACGATGTTTCAATAATTTATTAATATTTCTAATAGTTATCAATTTTCATTATCTTTCTTCCAGTGAATGATTTTCCATAATGATGAGTTTTCTAGATTGTTGCCTTTTCAACTTGACACCCAGTTGGTTTTGTGAGATGTATTGGATGTGTTAAAGCTTGAGGCTTTTAATGTTTTATTGGGATTTTTGTCTCTAACAAATCTGTAAATATTCCACTTTTTTTAATGTGAAATTAAGCTTTTGTCTCCTTATTCACAAGATGCTTCTTTGCATATTTATCTGTGCTGCTTGGTTGAGTGAAAATATTCCCTTGATCAGATCTGTTGGGATACTTCAAGATTGTGGTTCATTGGAATCTGGGTTGATGTGTTGATGTAATAGTTGTCCAAGATGCATTTGCACTTAAGGCCAGTTTATATGAAGATAGTCTTATAGGTGTCATTAGTTGGTGAGTTTTGCTAGTGTACAATTTGGGAGGCAGATGGTGATAAGCATTTCTGCTTTTCAGAGGTAAGCATGATATGCAGATTCAATGTTCCTCATGTGGGAATTTCTGACTTAAGCACCCTTTCTTACTCAGATGCAATGCTCTTGAGCGTTTCGTAACTGAAAAGATGGTTTTTCGGTGCAAGATAGTGTGTATGTATGGTTTTATAACTCTTGTTATTTGGTCGAAGTACGGTTTTATAACTATGATCTGAGTTTTGGATTATTATTTTAGTTTTACGTAATGAGATGTCTTAACTTCTTTTCTACTGGCAGGTAGCTGAGCGTGCCTTGTTTTTGTGGAACAACGATCACATAAGAACTTTGATTACACAGAATCGCCAAGTGATTCTGCCGATAATCTTTCCAGCTTTGGAAAAAAACACACAGAGTCATTGGAACCAAGCTGTGCAGAGTTTGACATTGAATGTGAAAAAGATATTCTCAGATATCGACCAAGAACTCTTTGATGAGTGCTTGCTCAGTTTCCAAGAAGATGAATCTAAAGAGAAAGAAACACAGGACAAACGTGAATCAACCTGGAAGCGTTTAGAAGATGTGGCTGCCTCCAAGGCTTTGGGCAATGAGGCCGTGCTTGTTTCAAGATTTGCCTCCTCCGTTGCCATTGCTACTAACCCAAAACCACGGGCTACTTCAGGTAGTTGAGTTGAGACCCCGTGCAATTTGCAGATACAGTTTACCCAAATCAGCCGTAATTGGACAAAAGTGGGTAGGACCCAGCCTCATTTCTCTCCGGCTTGTTGTAACTCTGTATGCTGATAAACGCGGAGGTGGGGGGTTGTTGTGGATTTTGCAATTTCTCCCGGGTCACGCTTCCTTTTGTACTGAGATGTGTGTAATATAAAGGATTCGTTATTATAGGATGAATGATTATTATTACTCCTGATAATATTTGTTGTATAATGGTGCGAAAGTTTAACTACATTTTTCTGGATCTGTTTCAACCCAAGCAATGTATTATCTCTCTGGGGTATATGTTGTAATCCTTAGGCTTGATCAACTGTCCAGGCTAATGGACTGTGTTCCTGGAGCCGCAGCCTTGATACTTATTTTGGATCTTCATAATGTATCAAGCCAGAAATGGTAGATTTTGTTGTTTAATAAAAAACTATTCCAAATCGGATCTTTGTTGCTGTGATTTATGCTTTCTAGTCGTAAGTATTTACTCTTCTATTACCCTTCTCTTCAAGGGGTATGGAGGAGATTTGCGACCAAACCCTGTCCTTGGCTAGTCTCCATATGCCTCTTGAACAAGACAAATAGCTTAGGTGCCAAAAGGCAGCAGTATAGTTCTACGGCAAGGGTCTTTTTATAGAATAAATTTGGTCAACACCGTTGTTCATGGATTTCCAGCACATGACTAATTGCTTTGAGCATCAGGAATTTCCAGAAGATAGGTCTTGCCAAAATCTTGTTTAAGCTTGTTATGAACTTGATGCAGAAGCCAATTCATTTTGCAGTATATACGAATTAGAACTCATATACGATACAGGTGAATACTTGAAAGTTGGGCATGTAGGCTAGGATTTGACAAACTAGTGTTCACCCTAGCATTTGACATGGTAAAGCTCATAACAGGCAAACAAGCTAAAAGAGCATACATGTCACTGTCGAAATACATACTCAAAGTCTATTAATCATCTCCATAGGCTCGGAATCTGTAACGCTCTTGGTATGGACCATTGAAGAAGAGGTCAGCCTCCAACCACTTAGGGTAACGAACAAGATCTCCAGCAACAAATCGCATATATTGCTTGCTTCCTTCAGGCACAACTCTCACCTCTCCTTCCTCGATGTAAACCAATTGGTCCACCTGCCAGTCCCATGGTAGCTTGCACTTGCCAGTCTTCCACATTGACCATCTTGAAACTCCAAGCTCTGCTAGTCTCTCCGGTGACACCTTTCGTTCCACTCTCACTTGGTACAATTCCTCCAGAGGTTTCTCTATCCGCATTGCCTTTAATTTCATACCACGACGTTGTCTGTTAGTACTACTCCACTTACTGCAATCTCCGCCGGTTCTGTTGACTGAGATTGAGCTGAAGGTTGGGGCCATGATCACACTTGCCATGTTTATAACAATGTGTTATTCTGCCTTGATTGCCTGCTAGGAATTGAAAACAATGAGGCATTGCATAATTCATCACCACAAGAGCAAAACCAACATCATGATCTCTGAATTTAAGATATTCACTCTGGGTAGCCAAATCCCAAATGCAAAGTCGGTACAAATAAACAAAAAATGCTATTCTTCCACATCATATTTATAGAAAATGGTCCTGTTGCAGCTTACTAAGTGCAAAAGTTCCAAGAGCTCCTTCCACATCCAGACAGTTCATTACATCATTTACATTTTTCAATCACCAAATTTTGAAAACATTAGGAGAACAGATATTTGGACTAATCCCCTGAAACCCTAATCCTACATTTCAGACAAATATATAACTTAGATTCTAAGAATGATTTTTCCTCCACAACTATGAGACAACCAGGAAAAGAAAATCCTCCAGCCAAGAGAACAAGCAAGATTATCTGGGTTTTATTGGGTCAAAGGTTCTCCATTTCCTGGAACCCAAGACAGAGCATTTATAGATATTTCAATTCATGATTTTCAATTCCTTCCCACCACAAATGAACAGGAAAAGATAATCCCAGAAACCAAGGAGAACCTAAGAAACAAAATTTGGGAAGAAGAAAGTTGTGGGTGTTTACCTGTTAAACGGAACCTTCAAGTTGAGAGGAGAAGAGTGAGACTGAGCAGCGGCAGCTCTGAAACTAAAACCCCCTTGTCCAAGGTTTATCCAATACCAATTGTTTACAACTTACAAGGGCTTTGATTACATCACGCACCCGTGACCTATTTTTCTCAGCCGCAGTTAACTTTTTACCGGGAACCGGATATTCAGTTACCTTTCTATTTTATTTTATTTATTTTTGGAAAAAGGAAAATAAAGTGAGTTTTGGTCGTTATTTGTTAACGTGTCCAGTCCTGGGGAACGGATAGATTTGGGGCTGAGAAACAATGTGAGAATGTTAAGACGTATGTATGAAGAAGTGAGAATCACTTTGTATTCATAATTTTACAAGTGATGGCGTTGCTTCACGTTCAACTCATTAATGGGTTGTTTCAGGGCCCAAAGCAGAGCCCACTGTCTCAGAGAAGAGCAAGAGCTGGCAGATGCCTCTGCTTGCAAACACAGGCCCCTCCCTCAAGAACCCAGGTACCCTTTTCTTTAATTTCCCACATTTCATTTCTTTGTTGTTCATATATTCTTCATCTTCTTCTTGTTTCTGAAGGGTTGAATTGCATCATTGTATATGTCAACTGAGTTAATGAGTGTTTTAAGTTAATACTTTTTTGCAGAGGATAATGGAGAGTTTATCAGTGAGTGGGGAAGTTGGTGGTGCTGGTGGGGCATACTCATATAGTGCCTTGAAGAGGTTAGACCAACTTTGGTCTAGTATTTGTTCTGCTCAAACAGGTGCTGTGCACACTATTTCATTGATTATCTGTAATGGGATTGTGATTAATGTATGAAAAGTTCTTGAAAAGTTTGGTTATTTTGACATGTCTCTTTGTAGTTGTGGAGGAACCAAAGAAAGTGGTTTCGAGTGTTCCTGGTTTTTTTGGCAATTCTGATCTGGCTGACAAAGCAGTAGATACATTTGATGTGTTAATTTGTGGTGGAACTCTGGGAGTCTTCATAGCTACAGCCTTGTGTGCAAAAGGTCTTCGGGTAGGCATTGTTGAGAGAAATGTGCTCAAGGGGGTAAGAAACTGCTCTGTGAAGTTTCTTTTAGAGTAAGAATTGTTTAATTATAGAATTTTTCTAGTAAGTGTGCCTATGATAGTTTGATCATCAATGATCAGAGGGAACAAGAATGGAATATCTCAAGGAAAGAGCTCTTGGAACTTGTAGAAATCGGAGTTCTGGTAGAAGATGACATTGAACTAGTCACTGCAGCTAAATTCAATCCTGTAAGTTCTTTGACTACAGTACATTTGTAATAGTTTTAAAGATCAAATAAGTTCATTTTAATAATTAGGTGAATTTATCTTTTTCACTTAAAGGGGCCTCTTCCCTACGTATTATAAAAAGTGCTTATTTTTGTAATTAGTATGCTAGAAGTTATTTAACCCAACAAATTTTCATAAATGCATAATAAACCACATATTCACAGCTCAATTTGCTTGTAATACCAAACATGGTATTTTGCTGCAAAGGAATTTTCATGCACAGAAGTTTCTATTTTAGTTGCATAGTCATGCAAAATACTAGCAAGCTACCTACTTCAACCATTTCTTTTGACATGTCATGAACTGCACAGAACAGATGCGGCTTTGAGGGCAAGGGTGATATCTGGGTTGAAGACATTCTTAATCTTGGTGTTTCGTGAGTTATCTTTTCTTCTTATTGGTTGCATTTATTTTGTTATCAGAAAACAAATCTTCTGGTTTACCTTTTCCTCTCCCCAACTAGTAGAGGGACTGATAGCCTGATAGGATCATGATTCATGAGTAATGACAGGAAACGAATGATGGTTTGCAACTGTAATTGTTTGGCTATTGTAATTTCATTGCAACTCTAATTGTTTACCCTGAATCACACATTTGTATAACCACAGACCAGCAAAGCTTATAGAGGTTGTGAAGAATCGTTTCATTTCACTGGGTGGAGTCATATTTGAAGGCAACAGTGTGTCCAGCATTTCCATTTATGAAGATGCGGCTGTGAGTTTCTAACAATTTCTAAGCAGTTCATTCTTGTGCCTTTTTATGAGTTGTACAACTAAGGATTCCTGTAATATTATGTTTGTATGCTTGAAAAAGATGTCTTTTAAAATAAAGTCCAATTATGGTTCTTAAAAGACTATCTGACTTATGCTAGTTAGCATGTTAGAAAATATAAGAATTGTCACAAAATTTTGTACTATTGTTTGAGAGATGAATGTATTTTGACAATAGTATAGCCACATAAAACAATTTTATATCATTTGACTAACATGAATTCCTCGCACTTTTCATTAGGTCTTACAACTCAATGAGGGAAACATTTTGTCATCTCGCCTCGTCATTGATGCAATGGGGAATTTCTCTCCCATTGTAAAACAGGTGGTTTTTTTTTATTTTCTGCATAATTGGTTGCTGTATGAGTACACATTTTGGCTTACAGTATTGTGTGTGTTTGTGTGTGTTGCTTGCATTTTTTAAGTGAGCAACTAATCCTTAGAATTTGAAGATGTTAAAGAGTAAACTCACAAATTCAATCTTGTGTCTATTGATCATTGTTGAACTTAGGTAGCAAATTAATGCATAACCCCATCGGGCCTGAAATTTACACTCAGTGTTGGTTCAATTGACAGATAAGATCCGGAAGGAAACCAGATGGTGTTTGCCTTGTTGTTGGATCCTGTGCTCGTGGATTTAAGGATAACTCTACAGGTGATGTTATATATACTAGTTCATTGGTAAAGAAGGTCGGGGCCTCAGAAGCTCAATTGTTTTGGGAGGTAACTTGGATTTTGTAGTTTGCTGGTAACGTCAAAATGAGAATTTTTTTTTTTTTCCTTTTTTAATTTTACAGAATCAACCTTTTTCTGAACATTTCACAGGCATTTCCAGCTGGTTCAGGTCCTGCAGATCGTACAACTTATATGTTCACTTATCTTGCTCCTCAACCCCAATCTCCGAAATTGGAAGAATTGTTAGAAGAGTATTGGAAACTGATGCCAGAATATCAGGTTAGTAAAAGTTCCAGTTGATAAATGTTCGGATGTTACTTTGATTTTGCCTTATAGCTCAACTCTTAACCATTCACAAATGCCCAATATGCAGGGGGTCTCTCTTGATGACTTGGAGATACAGAGGGTTCTATATGGCATTTTCCCTACATATTGTGACAGGTAATGATGCAAGTATTGCTTGAACTGCAATGAGAGTCTATTTTTGTTGCTAAAAGTATGTTAGGTTATCAAATGTGAGCCATTGAGGAGAGGGTATGCTAATTGAAATTTGACTTGATAAGAAGCTGGTAAATCTGTAATTTAACTTGTAACACAATCCAAAATCTGATCACAGAAAAGACTGTCATCACTATTCCATGAATGCAAAATATTCTCATACCTTCTGCAAGTTAAATACAGTGGATAGTTATTTTCTTTCTATCTGACACCTTTCAATTCTTAACTGGGAATGGTGAACTTGACAGCCCGCTGCCGGCAGCTTTTAATCGTGTTCTACAGGTGTTATAAATTATACACTTACAAAGCCACCTCTAAATTATGGTAGAATACCAAAAAGATGAAGTGTGATAAAATAATTCTCTGCAGTTTGGTGATGCTAGTGGAATACAATCACCTGTTTCATTTGGTGGTTTCGGAAGCTTGACTAGGCACCTCAAGAGACTGTCAACCGGTATGTACTTAATGACTCCAAAGCACAGATGGAACTCTTATCTTAACATTGAGGAAGAAAAATACGATGAACTCTCTTTAGTTTGTGTCCAAACATTGATAACCTGTGCAAATGTTAGTACGAGGATGAAACTTAGCAGGATCTATCTTTTTGCATGGGTGAAAAGGAATATATGAAGCAATGAGCGACAATCTTCTTGATTCATACAGCTTGTCCCTGCTGAATCCTTACATGGTTGGTGACTTTCTGATCCCTGGCCAAAGGGTAACCCTGGCTTTTTGTCTCTTTTTTTCTTCATGAATATCTGAATTTGAATTGAGATTTGAAATCTATGTAGCGCAGCCCAACTTAAGTGCTTCATGGTTGTTTCAAAGAGCAATGTCAGCAAAGCAACAGTCTAATGTGTCACCAGATTTTATTAATGAGCTTCTTTATGCGAATTTCCGAAGTATGCAGGTAGGACTATTTATTTTTCTTTCTGTTTTTGTTGATTTTGCTTCCCATGCATATACCTCCTTTACATGTTTCCCTATAAATTAATATGTTTTCTTCAGAGGCTCGGCGATCCAGTGCTAAGACCATTTCTTCAGGTAATTTTCTTGTTTTATTATTTGTTCATTTGATTTGATATGAGTTGATCAATTGGCTGAACTTTATGTCTGTAATGGCAGGCTTGGTTTCAAATTTTTAACTATAGAAGCATGTATTGTGACAGGATGTTGTGCAGTTTGGACCTCTTGCTAAGACATTAGGCCTTGTCATGTTAACTAAACCTCAAATTATTCCATCAATATTCAAGCAGGTAATCACTGAGTTAATAATTCCTGTTCTGACAAAAAAAAGAAAAGAGTTAAGAATCCTTTTTTTTTTTTTTTTTTCATTTTTCTGTAATTTATCCATCGGGTCTAATTTTCAGACCAACAAAGTGTTAAATTTTTTGTTGTGTTTCAGGTTGGAATTCCTGTGCTTCTTGACTGGTCTGGACATTTTTTCATGCTGGGATACTATACGTTTCTCTCATCTTTTGCTGATCCTGTAGTAAGGTAAATAATTTTTGACGATCATGGTCAATATGTTAACATAATGTAATATATATCTCACTGTCACTGTTTGCATATTTCTCAAGGCCTTTCTTAAGCACACTTCCATCCAAGGAGAAGTATGAGTGGAAGCGACGTCTTGAGGCTTGGAAATATGGCGCTGGCTTAGATTATAAGTCATGAGGTACTGGAAACAGGGAGCAGCTGCGTTTGGATAGGTACCTGGCTTCCCTCATAAAAGTTCAATTTGGGACGGCTCACTGGCCAGGACCAATGGGTGTTGAACGGAGAAGATAATAGAAAAAGGAATGTTAAAAGGAAAAAGAAACATCAGGGGACTGAGACAATGTAATTGGAACCATGCTTATATTCACATCAAATTACAGTTTCTTTGAATAAACATTCATATTCTTGTGTACTGGAGAGTGGTTTTTAATATTACAATCCAAGTAAAAAAAAAAAAAAAGGCTTCTCAAGAGTTGAGTCTTCCCAAAACAAGTATATACAGGCAAACTAGTATAACTTATACAACATCATGCCCTCAAGGAAAGGCATCTTTTATTCATACAGCACTATTCCTATCATTTTTCCTTTCCCCGCCAGTCCAGCCACCCTCCAAACTTCGTAGCCACGGCCATTCACAATGCCACTGAGAACTATTTACAAAGATTATAACCCAAAAAATAAGTAATGATAATGTCAATTGGATGTCTTTGCACCCAACATTTTAGAAAGTGCCTTAATAATAGGCTTCTCTTGTATATTTTCTTCCCTTTCCAAGCGCCATTTCCTCGACGTTTTTTCAGCCTGGATTTAGCAGCTGTAAGTTAGTTCGTGTGCAAATGAAAATCCATGCAGGAAAGAGAAGGCAATCCCATTCAATACTTAAGACATACCCACGCTCTCAAGGGAGCCAGTTGCTCCTGAATCATCTCTAAATTTGGCTCGACAAGGTCTCTCCCTTTTGTTCGGATATCTTCACTCTGTTAATACAAATTCCAAGTTAAGGTTAAATTGTCACCACATAGTAAGACTGTCTTTGTAACTTTCATCATCATATCACAGAATAAGGATACCACACAGTAATTGGAAAATTAGGGGGAACAAGACTTAACATATCTGTACTTACATTATGTAACTGTAATTTTGAGACAGCCATTCCAAATAGCAAAGTCGCACCACCAAATACTACTGCTGTTGCAACTGCGAATGCCTTTCCAACTACAGAGAAGCAGAAGACACTGCACATTAGGACTTTGTTCACAGAAAACAAGCAAATCTCCTGATTTTTTCAGAATTAGGAAAATATGGGAATTGTCTTTCAGGGTACCGAGACAAGAACTGAAACGCAGGGATACAAACACAATGTCAAAAACAACAAGTTTCCCAGATATTATCTGGGCAATTATTCGATTCTTACCCTAATTAGGGATTTGATTTAAATCAAATCCCTAATTATGTCAATCTCTCCAAATTGGGGAAGAATAATTCCTTTCCATCTGTGGAATTATTCTTCCAAAACCATAGCCTTCGAGACTCCTATAAATACATGGCTACACCAAGGCTTGAGGTAATTCAAAACCTACGTCTAAACTTCTGTCTGAAACTCTATAGAAATTCCATCTCACAAACCCTAGCCGCCATAACTCTCTCTCTCTCACAAGGCTCCGACCACCACACACGGCTCCGGCCACCCGGTTCACACCATACATACATCTCCGTATCCTTTAGTTAGCTATTGTTTTCCCACAAACACTCAAACTAACTTAGGCATCGGAGGGCCTTTGGCCAACACCCCGGGTGTGGTTCTCTTATTCCGATTTGTTTTGCAGGGAGAAAGAGACGACGAAGGGGAAGACGGAATCTTAGACGAATATTCTCATGGGGCGAAAATCCTCGTCTAAGATTCCGTCTTCCCCTTCGCCGTCTCTTTCTCCCTGCAAAACAAATTGGAATAAGAGGACCACATCCGGGGATGTTGGCCAAAGGCCCTTCGATGCCTAAGTTAGTTCGAGTGTTTGTAGGAAAACAATAGTTAACTAAAGGGTACGAAGATGTATGTATGGTGTGAACTGGGTGGCCGGAGCCGTGTGTGGTGGTCGGAGCCTTGTGAGAGAGAGAGAGTTATGGCGGGGTTTGTGAGATGGAATTTCTATAGAGTTTCAGACAGAAGTTTAGACGTAGGTTTTGAATTACCTCAAGTCTTGGTGTAGCCATGTATTTATAGGAGCCTCGGAGGCTATAGTTTCAGAAGAATAATTCCACAGATGGAAGGGAATCATTCTTCCCCAATTTGGAGAGATTGACGTAATTAGAGATTTGATTTAAATCAAATCCCTAATTAGGGTAAGAATCGAATAATTGCCAATTAAATCAAATAACTCCCAATTAGGCCAAATAATTCCCAAATTGATTGGCTTAATTATTTGACCTAGTATCCGTAGATATTTTGCTTCCACAAGTAGTATAATGATATATCGGAAATAAGATATTTTCTTCAGCAAGAGACCTTCTTGACCTTCTTTCAATCAACCCTGTTTTATTAGTGATCATGTTAACATAGACATCTAGTTCAGGCATTACGATATGAATAAAAGAGAATATTGGACCTACTTTGTGTAAGCCCTTCAGTTGCAGCCTTCAACTTTTCCGGATTAATGGGGGTGGTGTGCCTGTCTCGGCGCAGTTCATTAGCCGTTGAGGCTGACACCGAGCTCTCTGATTCGGGCAGTTGCCACCTGCATTCAGCAATGTGATACATTATAAAAGCTAGAGCAATGCACGGTATGCACCAAAGCAAATTCATCTTGATTTCAACTCCCTATATATGTACTGATTAGCTCCTTCATATGCATTCCTTCCAGACACTACTTGGTATTCAATTTCCACATGAATATTCATCATAAAGCTTCAAAATTTTGCAAATTCACAAAATATTGAACAATTTTGAGCATTACCCACAAAGCCAATTCCACCAAAAGAGTCCTAGAATCTTCAATTTCTCAGTTCGCATTTTCTAGCAACCAACCAAACTCAAAATTGAACAATTAAGAAGACAAAAGGAGAAGATAACGAAAAAGAACTGACCTTTTGGGGCCAAAAGTGACCTGCGGCAGTGAAAGATAAGCCCTTAGAGGGTTGAGAGCCTCAGCAGAGACAAAATAGCCACCCTTGGGATCAGATTGAAGAACCCATTTGGAGCCTGTGTCCAGGGACGACGTCATTGCAGAGGGTTGGTGGAAAATCTTGGAGGGCAAAGAGTGCCTCAGCACCTCGGGAAGCACGTCAGCTTGGGCTTCCTGCTCAGTAGCCGAGGAAGCTTCAGAAGGCGGCGATGGGAGCTTCTTCTGGGTTGGGGTTTTCTGGGATGCAAGACGGCCCACAGCCTGTTTGGATTCCTGGAAAAAATATGCTGCCTCTTTCCCGGCTAGTCTTCCCGCGAGAAAGCTCATTTCTTCTTATTCCCTGTATAAGATAAAGCTAATTGAAAAAGTGTCAGATTGTTGCTATGTGGCTGAGCAGTGACTAGATTTCTCAGCTTAGTATCTATCTATGTCAGCTTAGTACAATTCTGTATATATAGTTTGGTTTGTGCCTTATCAATCAAGTATGAAGTCATTTTTTTAAATTTATATTTTGTTTGCATGAGGATCAAAGTTAAGTCTACAAGTCATGAATCTCCATTGTTATTTGAGTTTGATAACAAATTTGAATTTGAGTTTGAGAATAAATGTTTTGGCAGTGTGAGATACGTTTGACCAAAAAGGAAAGTTATGAACTTCGTAAAAAAATCAATCTTCTTTGCCAAATTTCATTTTGTGTGGCATGTATATTTGCATTTCAGTAGCTCCTTTATAAATTTTTTGAGCGATAGAAATTCTGTAGCACGTAGAACATAAAAATATAACATTCCCTCCTACCGTCGAGATTCTCTGAAGAAAAAAATCATGTATTGTATTATAGTATTATATGGTATTGGAGTCAAATTAATTTAAGGGGAAAAAAGGATATTGAACCAATCATCTTGATTTAAATATGTGAGAAAAGCCAAAGAATGAAAGAGAACAAAATTTAAGGAGAGTGATAAAACTTGTTGTCATCACCGTACAAAATGTAAAGTTTTGTGGCCTTGGTCAAGTGTAGCGGCTACTTTTGAAATAAACTAGAATTTCTATCCCCCCATTGACCAGATTAGAGCATTCTGTCTCCTTGCACAGCAAGCAGATAAGCAAATGTGTCCTCTAATTTCTTACTTGGAGATGAAGTTTCTTCTGTGCTATTATTATAATTAAGAGTAGAATAATTCCACTTCCATCGTCATTAATTCAACAAAACAAAATGATTATTATCTACTACGAATCTTATCGAAAAACCAAGTTGTCAAACAATAATGTAGTGATTAATGTCACATTATGTCATTTACGTACATTTTGTAAGTTATTACTAACTTATAATGTTTCAACGAGAAATGCTAGCATCAGTCGTGCGTGTGCGCGTGACGCATAAAGCTTGAATCACATTTTCATTTGACGTCAACCCAAATATGATCTTCACAAACAGCCACATAAACCATACAACTTTTTCATACTTAATTATTGAGTTATTTGCTATATAACTTTGATTTCCAGATGACAAATACACTTTTTTAACCCACAAAAAGGAAAAACACACATTCATCTTAGACTTCTGAGTTGGTGTGTGGGGTAAGCATTTGCTGCATTTTTTTCCATTGACTTGATATCCATCATGTTAGGCTAATTTTTTCAACTACGTAATAATTTGTTCAACTAATAAATAAGTGCAAATTTTACACGCGCACATATAGTAACAGTACATCAAAAGGCTGGTGGGATGCCTTATGCGTAGCCAGTTGGATCACTTACACTCTGTGGACCACACCCACCTCCACAACCCCACATCTCATTTCCTCTGCAATTAATCTGCAGTAAGATTAAGATTTCTACTTCCATTTCATGGTTAATTACATCTTTACGACATAATAAAGGCATGTTTGAAAGTACTTTTGAAAGGGCTGAACGCCATTCTTGACAATCAAAAGCGCTTTTTAGAGAAGCACCATTTCCAAGTGCTTGAAACAACTTACGGTCTTCCAATAAAAGCGTTTCTAAAAAAAATACTTATAAACAAAAGTGTTCCGTACAAAAACATTCACAAACGAGCCCTAAATTATAATTTTGATTATCTCTCTGTCTCTCTCAGATTTCAAAGGCTGTAAATTGATTGTAATTTACGAACCCTGCTGCATTTGGTGCACCTGAGTTATGGAGGTTGTGGACCCTAATCAGTCAACATATATTCCATATCTGCACAAGGGCCATCCTCTTCTTAATTGTATGGTGGTTGTATGGAGTAATGGGTATTTACACTTTGCATTCAAATTTGGGTTCTAAAAGCTCAACAGCCCAGCAGGTACTCAATTAGAGCAAGCAAGGCCATACCAGTTTTTATATTATATGTGTACCTCAATTATTGGTCACTATAATGTTACAGAGAGTGATGAGCAACTAGGCCTCATTCACCAAACTCAACCAAACCAGTGCTCTGGACATGCTCAATTTCCAACGGTGATCATGAGTATATACATACATATATATATATATATATATATTTATATGTATATATATGCTGTGACATTTTGCTAATGCTTCATATGAAGCCTTATTTTTGTTCTGGTGCAATTACCAAGAAAAACCCAGAAGTTAAATGAGATGGGCAATTGGATTCTTGGTTGTGAGGTGCGTGAAAGTGACTGCAGTCTGCAGTTTCAAAGATGGAAGAACTGTAAAGCCAAATGCTTCACATGCATCAGATTCATGAAACCAATTGCTTCCTCTGCATCCATTTAAGTTCCCAAAATGCAAATATAAGATTGTTTATAGAGCTAAGGCCAGAGAAAGAAACAAAGATTATCTGATTATATATGTATAGAGCCAGAACAAGGCAAAAGAAAAAATTGTAATTAATCCTTTGTAGCGGTCTGTATGAACCTAATTCATAAGAAAATTACAAAAGCCTAGAAAGAAAAATAATAGTCAAACAAACACATGACTGTATGAATCTAGATTCTAAACTCTTACATGGGTTTTCTTCAAAGCTCTTGAAAATCACCTTCTGTACATCTCTCTACAAATGGAGCTTCAAAATTCAAGCTCTATATATATATATGGTCATCATATATGTAGTGTATTATATATATATATATATAGAAGTTCTCCGACTATATTTATGTTAAACGAATTGACTAGCAGATAGAGAAAAAAGATATCTTGAACCATATATATGTAATATAAATTAATTAAACAAGATAGCTAGCTAGATAGATATATATTATCTGACATTGAAGCTCTTCAGAAACTTGAGAGATCATCGCTTGTTGTGCAAAGGGTTTGATCCTGTGGGCACCTTTCGCTTCTCAGAGTCAAAGACTCTGGCCTGGCGGGTAGAAGGGCCACTAACAGATGGCCTGAAAACTTGCTGGCTTCTTGCAGATGCAGGGCTCGGGAAGCTTGTTTGAATGGCACGATTGTTCGTCGGAGCAAAGAAGAGGAGCAGAGTGAAAAGGAGGCAAAGTTGAAAGCGATTCATTTTGTGAGTTTGAAGAAGAAGAAGAAGAAGAAGAATGTGTGAGAGTGATGCAGAGATGAAAAGGCAAGGTGAAAAGCCTAGGTGGTCATTATATATATGGACATGTGGTTGGTCCATTTTTCATGTAGCTGTTGTTTTGTTTGATGTTTTTGTGCAAACAATTAGAAGTTTTTGTTAGAATACATGTAAGTGAAGCACACGCAGAACCTCCACCGTTCATCTGGTGATGATCAGGAACAATTATGGGATCCCTGTGTGCTACAAATGACGGTTGGGGGGCGGTGGTGGGGTTATAATTCAATTGGATGGTGACATATATTGAAGCCTACACAAACTTGTATGTGAAAATCTTGGAGGGGTTTGCTGCCGCTTTCAACTGTTGGATGGACCAAAATGTCTTGCTGATTTCACATTGAAATTAAAAACTAAAAATTCCAATTTAATACTTGAAAATTGTAGAAAAACTAACTATAACACTATTACATGATGTTATTAATTCATATGTGATATGTTGGAGTAAATTTATATATTACAACTCGAGCGTACTGTAGTTTGTAATATTACACAGGAGTGTGATAATCATACCGAAGAAGATGAAAAATTCAACTAAAAAGTCACATGTCCAATGCCGACTCTTTTGATTAATCTATGTTATGGTAGAATATGAGGTGCATACATGAAACCGCGCGTCTATTATTACTTACTTAAATGTATCGCATCATTTACTAATGATCAACATAATTAACTATGTTTTATTGTTGATGAGATGAAATGTCTCTGGGGGAGGGTTCTGAAAGTTGACATTTTAGTGCAGCCTCAATGGAGAGACAACACGTGAGCTTGACAATTCCCCCAATATAAGCTTTCGGGAAGAATGATTTTTGGTCTCAAGAGCATAAGGTTCAAGCAAAGCCAAGGCAATTTACCTTTTTTGTGTGTATTAGGCTATGTTTAAGCCAATTCTATATAAGTTTCAACCATAAGTGGGTCTTTTTTTTTCTTCTCTTTTCAAGTTCGTGGATTATTCATGTCCCAAATCATGTAACTTTGAATGCTACATAATATTTCTGTAATATAAAAACGAAAAAAGCAGAAATTACTTTTGTTTTAAAAAATCTTTTATATTAAGAGAGATAATAATATACTAAACTCATATATAATACACGAATACTAGAACTTGAACTCAGGACATCTTCTGGAGAGCAATTACTCCTACACTAGTGGGTGGCCAAAAAAAAAGTCATAGTTAATCAACAACAAAATATGAACTTTTTAGGTGCACGGGGAGCAAAAGTTTTCTACTTTCCTCATCAAATTCCTTTACCATAAGTTTGATATTTTGGTCCTCCTTAGCTAGCTAGACCTAGACCCACAAATTCTAATCCCATTCCCATTCCTTTTGCAGGTAAGATTTCTCATAAGGAACTAGAAATACATGCTTTCAAACAATAGCAATGGCCTTTGAAGCAGATCCAAGACCTATAAGAATGAGTCAACCATAATTATAACAAGGAAAAAAAGAAGAACATTTGACCTTGAGAAATCTGCATGATTATTTTTAGTTGATGAAATCTTTGAATAATAAATCAAAGAATGGATGGATCGATCAACACCTACCAATAAAGAGGCAAATCTAAGAATTCATCATCATAACTATACATGATGGAAGTTTAATAAGAGACTATGAACGCAGAGAGAAGGTCAAGGCATGACTTTTTCCAGCTTGTACGGCATTCAGATTTGAGGTGAATTTATATATATATTTTCAAACCTAACCCTATTATATATTTATATAAATAATATGGGTATTGGATGGTAGCACAGATTTTCCGGGGGTCCGCCCACATAATAGATTTTCACTTTCAAAGTTGTGTTCATTAGCAAAATATATTTAGATTATTGACAGCAGCACCGACTTTATTTTATTTTTCTGGGACAACACCATACATATACTGTGTACATTAATGTGAT